TCCTCCATTAACCGGTTAACCGAATTTTTACTCGGAGCTGCCTCGCCCTCATCGTTCGGCGTTCGGCCCAGTTCCCGCGTATAAATTAACAGTATCCGGCTCAGCGCTTCGTCTCTCTCTTTTTCCCTCTCCCTCCCTCTCACACACCCAGTGGCCTGCCGAGAGTGTAGTCTGCTCTTTTTGGGGGCGATTTTGTGCACATCACGCGTTGCTGCCTGCAGGACTTGTCCATTCACTTTACCAAATTAATCAGAAAAAGAAGTAGAAGATCCCCATTCCGGAAGAAAATTGTTAACAAACGGAACTACCCCAGCGAACCTAAAGCTAAACGGCAATCCATAGAATTATTTGCAGCTAAGTTAGCGGAATTAGAGTATTTAGAGCTCACAATTGCAGTGCTGTAGCTGTAGAATATTTCTCAAGGCCTATCCTATCAAGTTTCATTACAAGAGCTGACAACACAATGGCTAGTGCTGTAGGATTTCTTCAACGGTTGTATTCGCCAGTGGCGAGAACAGTCTCAACACATCTGAAGCAGACAACATCTTCAAGAGGTGAGTCAGTGCATGTTTAATGAATGTGTAAATTATATCTAAAAATTTCTTGTTTGTCCATTCCCGCACGACTACGTCTAAAAATCTAAGCGCAGTTTACTCGACGTAATGCATTTTACAGACAGCGTCGAGCGAAAGGTAACCTAGCAGCCGACAAACAGAACCGTCAGAAAAACATAGCTTGACCAACGAGAGCACACCGACTCTCGACTCACGCTTGTGCTATTTATAGAGCTCTCAACCGTGAGCGCGTTTGCCTGTGACGTGACTCGGTGAGCTGCCAGCCAGCGGTATCAGTATTAGAGCAGCAATGAGTATTTAGTCTACAACGGCATGGCTGGCCTAGATAATCTAGATAAACGTAACTGTGTGTATGTGTTGTGAGTATGATCAGTTTACAGAGCTTTGAAATCATGTGCATTTAAAAAATGCACACAGCATTCTTCAGAGCTTCCTGTACGGCATCCCATGTATTGGTTGGGAATGTGTTGTCAGGTTGTTAGAGTAAGGGGAAGCCAATGCAGCACATTCGGTTCTCGGAAAGATCTCCTTTCTTTCCACTTCCTCATAGGCCTAGTGTTGGTCGATGCGATCTCGTTGTCGGTGGGCGTGGCAGGCTGACTGTTCTGTGTGTTCGCTCCATGCCGGCCGGCGTGTAGTTTATCAGGCTATAATGAGGAGATGGCTCCCTCTGCCAATGTCGGGATCTGCTTGGTTTGAGTTCGAGATCATTGCTTCAGCGCGCGCACTGCTGGGGAGAAAAATGTTTGTCTGACTTGAAAAATAATCGTTAGGCTACACTGTGAAAGATCAGGTCGACCGTTGCACTCGTCATCTCGTCGTGTATCGCAGCGCATAGCTGAAATAACGAACTACACGTAGGCCTATTCTCAGAGAGAGAGAGAGAG